AAAAAAAACAGTTCTGATTTTAAAAAGAAAAATAAAATAGAATAAGATAAAAAAAACAAAATTTAATTTTCTTTTTCCGCTTCAAAAAAAAATAGGTGTGTTTTGGTGTTAAACAAAAACGAGGAGCAATCAATGCAGCTGTGTTCTTTACAGTTTCTTTCTGCTTTCGTATCGTGGTTCTTTTCACTGCCTTGACATCTTATAGCAAATGTATATAATGAGTAAGTGGCAACTGATATGAATATACCGGAATATGTAACGACTGACAGATGTATCTTAAAATTTAAGTAAATTTTAGTCATCAACAATTCTGTAAAGAAATGCAAAAAAAAAAACAAAATTTTTTTTTTGATATTACTTGCATTTTTGCCATTGTTTATTGGGACAAATAACTTGATCCATGGGTGCAAAAAATCTCTATACTAACTGAGCAATTATCTGCATCAGCACAATTATCAACTTTTTTTTTTTTTCTTTGCTCTTCAAAGGTTTAGAATGCTGTTTTTTGTTGACTGTTTAGTGGAAAAGAAGATCTTTGATTTCAATGAAAAGGTTAAAAAGTTTTGTTATTTTAACTACTTTTTCATTACAGTGTTTCATTTATTGTGCTAAACGGTAGACATTTTGCAGTTTACTGGTGAAAAAGTCAACGGATAATGATGGGTTTGTGAATATCACCAACTTTTAGTTGACTTCTTCGTCTCCTTCTTCTTCTCCTTAATTTTTTCTCCATCTCCGTCTTTTTCTTCTTTTTGTTCTTCTGCTCATCTTTCCCCTGCTTTTTCTTACTTCTTTGTCGTCACCTTTATTGTCTGTAAACTGAAGTTTTTGTCATTGTTGAGTTCCTTTTTTTTCACTTTGGTGCTACTTTTTGGATAGACTTAAATAATTCATAGTCTTTATTCTTTCCGAAACTACTACATTACCTTCTGCTTCTTATTTGATTCTTCTTTTTTCTTTTCTTTTTTGCTTAGAAGTTTTCTTCAATAAATGATTATAAAGAATGAAAAAAAGTTTGTTTGTGAAGATGTCATAAAACTGAAATTCACTAATGCAGTAACTGATGAGAGCAAATTGTTCTCCACTTTTTTTTTCCCTGATATCAAAACTGTGCGGCGCTAATGGTGAATTTGGATGAGTAGTTTTTTTCTTTTTTATTCATTTATTTATTTATTTCTTCAACTTTCTCTCAGTTGGTATCACTATAGATTTTTTGTTACAAAAATGCATTTGTTACAGATTTGATCACCTGACAAACGATTAATTCATTGTTTTTAGATGAACAATATTTCAGCTGAAATTAATCCTTTTTTGTTGCTTTTTTCTGAGGTGTAAGAAGGTGAAAGGGATTATGGCAATCATTGTGATTACGCTGTTACATACGCATATCTTCTTCTCCA